ACTCAGATGAAGCTGTTCATATTTTATGTAAAGACTGCCAATATAAGGCTTTACAATCACAAATTACATTTATAAGTAATAAGATGGGTCCTAATCATACAACTATAACATTTTCCAGCATAGTTTTTTTGTGATATCTTTTTTGGTTTTACATTATTGTGTATTGTTCCTTTATTGTGAAATTAATTGTAAACTTCTCTAAGTAATGCATGAGTCTTCAAAAGGTGGGTAGAAATTGTCCTATAAACAAATATAAGATTTCTGTATGAAATCCATGCCTATAGCAGATCCCAAAGGGTAAGGCTCGGGGACAGTTGCTCTTCCAAACTTGAGCTTAATTGTGGTGTCCCTCAGGACGCCATCCTATTCCCCAATGCTATTTAATATCTATATGAAGCCGCTGGGTAAGATCATTTGGAGGCATGGAGCGCGGAGTCTTCAGTACGCTGATGACACCCAGATATACTTCTTCATGACCAGATCATCGGCTCAGACTTCAGATGGTGTCTCTCCTCTTAATGACTGTCTCAGAGCGGTAATGGGTTGGATGAGGAAAAACAGATTGAAGTTGAATCCAGGCAAAATGGAGGTACTCAGAGTTACAGGCCTGAAACCAGATCTGGGAATACAGTCTCCAGTCCTGGGTGGAATCACACTCTCCTCCAAGGACTGTGTTCGCAGTCTGGGGGTGCTCCTAGATTTGTTGCTTCACATGACTAGTCTGGTGAATGCGGCGGTCAGGAGTGCCTGTTATACACCAACTGCGCCCTTATCTGGACATAAGGGATCTGGAAACTGTGGTACACGCTCTGGTAACCTCGCATCTGGATTACTGCAATGCACTCTACATGGGGCTACCCTTGTGCTTAACCCGAAAACTTCAATTGTACAAAACATGTCCGCTAGGTTAATTGCCGGAACATCTAGGAGGGAGCATATAACACCGGTGCTTAAATCCCTTCACTAGCTGCCAATTAGTTTCCAGGCACATTACAAGGTGTTGGTTTTGACCTTTAAAGCCTTACATGGCTTGGGTCCATCTTATCTTCGGGACTGCCTCTCCCAGTATGATCCCCCCCACGCACTTCGGTCCTCTGGGAGGAATCTGCTGCAACCTATGAAAACTAGGCTCTTGCAGACCTCCCAGAGGGCCTTTTCTGCGACCACTCCCAAACTCTGGAATGGCCTGCCAGACGAGATCCATCACATTACCACTCTTGCTGCCTTTAAAAAGGCAGTAAAGACGGATATTTTCCGGCAGGCCTTCCTGGAACAACTCCTCGGCTAATTGGAGGCAATCTTTTATTCACTCCCCTGGCTGTCATGGCGTGTCACCCTATATTGTTTTATTGTATTAACTATGTTGTTGATTTTAATTCCAATGTAGTTTAAACCTGTTTTAACAGGTGGGAGGGTTAGGGTGTGGGATGGGCGCTTTAACTGTTTCTTTTTAAATTACTGTACGCCACCTCGATTGCCGAACAGAGGGGTGGGATATAAATAAAATTTTTTTATTATTATTATTATTATTATTATTATTATTATTATTATTATTATTATTATTTGTTCTTTTTTTGTAGAATCAGTTTACTTCTTTCTCACAAATGGTGGCTCAACTTAGAATATACTGCTAAGCCCTGTGCCCTTTGTATGATATGAATGTATGAAAGGGCCAAAAGTAATCATTAAAGATAGAGATAGGTACTACATATTTCTTTGCAGGATGCCACTAGTGTTTGTAAAATGCCATAGGGGTGAGACAAGTTGTTTAGCCTATTGGATAGAAATAGAGAAAAAGATCTTGTATATACAAAAGCAATGCCAGAGAACAGATCACAGCAAAGTAAATTGGCTTGAATAAAGCAGATCAGAAGGGTTTGTACAGTTCTGAATTAAAGCCATGTACCCCCTTAATGGATTGGAACCAAACTAAGGGGCTAAACCAGGGGTAGGCAACCTTTCCCCTTTAAGGGGTGAGGGACT